TTTAATGGACTGACTTAAGTATACTTCCACCACCAAATTTTGTGAACGGTAATTTTTGGAACGCATCAACAAACTATACTTCATACTTTCACAATATTATTAAAATATTAGTTCTCAATTGTTACTTTTGTAAATATACATTTATAACAACATGAACAAAATAACATTTTGTAATATTTATTGCATATAACATTTGAACGACGTGAGTCTATGACAGACGGCCTACTCACTACTCAGTATTTTTKACTTATGTACTTACTACTTACTACTTAGTTCACAGAATAACTTCAAACTTGGTTTGCAAATAATGTTGTTACTTGCTTATCGAATCAGCTGTTTGTTAACACTTATAATTTAAATTCACATTATCATATCATCACAGAATAAACAGAAGGGAATCATTTTTCATTTAACATTGATTTGGGTCTTATGAGTTGTGGGAGATGATAAAATCACTGAAYATAATTTAAGTACAGAATCTAAGAAAAACAAAAAAATAATAAATATTATCATTTTAATCATCATTATACTGTAAATTGAAGTCAGGGGTTGTTGATGATTCCGGGGGTAGGAATACCGTGAGTTTTTTCATGTCTAATATATGCTGTTAGTRTTTTCACGTATTAAGTTTGTATGTATATACATCATCAACGACGATTTGTAATTTGTATGCAAACTGTTAGTTAAAGTGCAAATATTTGATTTTACGGTGCTGCAGAACATTGATTGGAAACTAATGCATTTTACACGACCTTCAGAAGTTTCAGTTTTTTTGTGTTAAAATGATGGTATAAAAATCGTCTTTTTGAAATAATTATTTAAGGAGTTATAGCTAATTAAAATGTCCTATTTTATCATATCGGTTAAACAATCTCAAGCAATTTCATCTTGGTGAAATTTTGCTGTATTTTAAATGTGTTGGCRCATGCAAAAACAATTGTATATGTCACGTCATTAAAATAAAAGTTTAAAACAATTTGAAATTTTGACTTTGTAACTTAATCTACTGGACGACTAGACGACATATCCCAAACTTTTTCCCTGGCAGCATACTAGGTAGTCCTAACCCATCATATTTGACATGTTTAGCCGTGATCTAAACTTGTCACTAATGTATAAAGATAATAAAATATTTAATTGGTATTGTGGKAATTATCATAATAATGATAATTAATTATTATTTTTTATATATAATCATTGCACTGGGTGCAAAAAACTGGCGTAGTGCATCCCAAGTGAAACGTAAAAAAGTCCACTCGGTGCGCACATCAATCTTGCGGATGGAACATGCACTGGAGCAGCCGGTGAAATGAGGTGGAAAACGCCATTAGCACAGATTATAATATAAAAAGTGCACCATCTGGTTTTTTATAAAACTACTATATTTTAACACTTTGTTGCTATCTTGCCATAGACTTCTATCGCATTATCAGTTATCACTGCTCACTAGAGWATGAAAGTATGATTAAATATTGTTTACTTAATAAATAATTTAATATTCACAATTTTGTAGCTTTTTTTACTGTGTTATACCTAAATAGCATTTCAATCATTTCATTTATTCTATATCCCTAAATGGCTTAATACATAATATAATGTATTCAAGTTATTTACGAGTTACCTATAGTTTATGAAGTGGTTACTGATTATTTTCATGCCATATAAGTTATAATATATTAGTGTTTAGTTGTTATTACTGTTGAAAATTTATGAATTGTTCATTCACAATATACAAATTAATTAATTGTTATTGTTAAAATTTTCTATTAAATCATATATTTTAAGATATAGCAAAGTATGGACAAATCTAATTCTACGTTTCGAATAAAATGTCTTCCAGCCATAAATTGCGTGCAAAAAATTGGAGTGTACGAATCTAAAAATGTAATTTTATTAAAATTGTATCATACATTTTTCAGTTTATCAAACCTAACCCGCAAATTAATGGAAAATGAATTGATTTCTATTTCAGAGATATTTTGTTGTTGGGTCCAATAATGCTCGTACCAAGTATCGAATTCTTAAAATTGATCGAACAGAGGGTCATGATTTAACAATTGTGGATGACCGGGTCGAGTACACTGAACTAGATATGATAAATTCTTTGAATGTTGGATTACACAGAAATACCAGTCTAAGTAAAATAGCTTCAGCGTTCGGCATAGTTGGTAAAAATAATAGATTTTTATGTTTAAAATAATYAATGCACCTATACTACTACATCCATTGACCATTTATCATTGATGTTAAGGTTTTGTAAGACTACTAGAAGGTTATTATATGATTTTAATCACTAAACGTCGCCGTGTTGCTGTAATAGGACGTGAAATCATATATAAAATTGAAGATACGTCTATGATATACTTGCCTAATGATGCCTATCGCATTCCTAATGTTAATGAACCACGTTATTTGAAAATATTTCAAAGTGTAGATTTATCAAGCAATTTTTACTTCAGGTAAGATTCGTTAAATAATATGTAGTTTAATGGTGTATAATCATCAGATGATTTTTCATCAGCTGTATAAAACAGTGTCAATGATTGATAGTTTGACACCTGTCATCTTTTGTATTTTTTTAAAAATGAACAGTAGATATATATCATAATATTGATTAAATTTAGTAATCTAATTATTTTGGGAACACTAATAT